CGAAAATTTCGAATTTTTGAATTTCAGTGAATGCCTCCTCGATCCTCATGCTCCCCTGATACTTTTTCGAAAATTTCGAATTTTTGAATTTCAGTTAATGCCTCCTCGATCCTCATGCTCCCCTGATACTTTTTCGAAAATTTCGAATTTTTGAATTTCAGTTAATGCCTCCTCGATTTTCATGCTCAAAAAAAAATTGAATTTAATTGAGATATGAGAATAGAATTTTTTTTCCAGCCATGGTTATATAACCCATACACGCCATTCGGTCCAGTTGTCGAGGAAAAATCCGCGCACTCGTTCATCCATCGACCACCAATCGATATAATCGAGAACGGTGAAGCCGCTGATGTCCCGTGGCTAACTACCGTCACCTCAGAGGAAGGACTCTATCCAGCAGCTGAATTTGTTGCTAACGCAGAACATATGGATGAGTTAGATAAAAATTGGGATCTGATTGCGCCATATCTACTTGATTACAACTATACCCTACCCAAATCACAGCATGCGAAAGTCGCCGAGACGATGCGACAGCATTATTTGGATTCAAAGAAGATCAACAGAGATAATTCAATGCCGCTTATTCATATGATCGGCGATAGATTATTTGTTGTGGGCGGCGAGAAAGCTGCGAGAGAAATGGCCAAAGCCAATCGCAGCCCAGTTTGGTTCTATTTCTATAGTTATCGGGGCGAATTCAGTCTCAGCGATGACTACATCCGTACTAAAGATAATTTCGGTGATTATTTTTTATTTTCAATCATTCTGATACTCATAACTAGAAAAAATCGGCAATTGAAAAAATAAAATATTATTCCCACCAAATTATTCGGTAACTATCACAAGATTCCATAAACTAAATAATATCTCATTAATAAGGATTGAATAATTAATCATTAGATCAATTTTTTGGGATTTAGTGATTTGGTTATTTAATTTGTTTATTCGATTATTTGTGAATTTAACAGGCGTGGCTCATGGGGACGACGTTTTCACTGTAATTCGTCGTGATCATGAACCCTGGGTCTCTGGAAGTAAATCACTCGAGGTTCAGAACACTTTATTGGATATTTGGACGTCCTTCGCGACTAATGGGTGAGTAATTTTCAGTGGGAATTATAAATTGAACGAATGCAAAGTGCATTTTTTAATTAATTGATATTTAAAAATACGTACTTTGGATCCGTAAATTTTTGATTATTCATGAGTAACTATTTTTTATAATGCAGTTAATCGTGCTCTTGAAAATCTAGATCACCCAAAATCGGAGTGAAATGGCCACGACTTAATCCATCCGAGGAAGCCCTCAAGTATCTCCACATTTCTGGTCCCCAGAAACTGCGAATCGAGGAGAATTCGAATCTCGGGGAGAAGAAATTCTGGGGATCCATTGATTTCGACGAGAACATACCCAATGAAGGATTTGGTAAATCCCGAGATGAATTTTAATGCCAATGCCAATGACAATTCTGATCCGCATGTCAAGACTGAAAAAAAAAAAATGTTGATGCTTTTGAATAATCCTTTTATAGATAATAGCATGTTATTTTGTTTATACACGTCAATTTGTCGCGGTAACATTCCGACTTATATATTTTTTGTGGTTTGAATGCACCTCGATTATTCAATTACTCGAAATAAACCGTTAACGAATCATTAATTGTGAAATGCCATTCAGACGATTACGGAGATTGTTGAACTCCCCTCACCCGGGACAAACAGGTGGTCTACCTCTGGTATTTGATGGACGATGACTAGCCTCCAATAACAAAAAGCTGAAAAAAATGCAACTATAATTTTACCAATTCAATAAATTAAAAAAAATCCTCTGAAATTCTTAATTCAACGGCGAGACTGTCTGATTTAACCTAGACCACGCTAGCCTTTTTTCAATCAATTCGAATGAGAGAAAGAAGACATCAGCGATAATGAATTCAATATTTATCTCCATTAGACCAACAGTTTCATCACTTGAATCACTCCCCTTTCGACTCCGTCATTTCTCATTCGACTGAATGCTCATTGACTTCATGGTCCAGTATTTTGATTGATAGAGCTCAAATTCTTTAGTGCAGTCAAAGGGAAAGGTGTGAATAACTACAGATATTTGAGATAAATAAACGTAGATTACCGTTACAGGCCGGAAAGAACGTATCGAATATATAAAAGTATCACAGGGTAGAACCTACGCCTGGGAATAGCCCCAGGGCCAATACCAGTTACACGCAAGTCTTTCACTGGGCATCACTCTTTCTCAAAGGTTGTAGATAATACATCCTAAGATAACAGACGATATGAACTAGATATTCTAGATTTATTCTCGGTCAATTGAGATTCGGTGATTATTACATCTTATATCCGGTAAATTGAATTTTAACCAATGCTAAAAATGCTAAATTATACGAAAATGAAAAATAAAAGTTCAGATAAATATCTACTCTAATGGTATCTATTACTCAGTAATTATTTAATAAGTATGCGAAATAGTCACCATTCCTCTATATCGTACCGACTCCACTGCAATTATCCACCGCTACTAATTTAATTCAATCCAACAAAACAATTAATCTTAAATGGTTAGATCATCCTTGAAAAATATCCACTCATTCCGTACGTTCGTTTTTCATCCGTTCATTTCGCGTATCAAACTCTGGAATTTGCATTTTCAACCGGCGCCAAACTATCGTTATCGTCGTCATTTGTGAATGACACAGTGCTGATGAAGTTCATTCGTTAAAATTTAATTGATCACTTGATGCGTATCGGCGATAATCATGGTATCGCTCTCGAATGTGAGAACTGCAATCGATAGATTTTACGATTCTCTCGTTTCGGATGATTTCACACTTTTCAAAATCTTTCTTTCAACTTCAGAGATATTTCTGAGAAAATTATCGTAGATGTGCCTTCACTCGTCTTCGGAGATTCTCTGTAAAAATATTCTATAAATCAATTGTTGTCAAAGTAGTACAATTTGTTGTACAAGAATTTCAAAATTACTGCGTACTGAGGGATTCATTGTGTAATGAACCCCAAGGTTTGTCCGTTTATTTTTTTTTCTTTACGCTGATGGTATTTTCCGGTGGCTATTTTTCTCCCATAATTATTCAATTGGATTCTTGATTTTGATAGATATCGGAGCAGATGATTCCTTTGATTTACAGTAATCACGGCCCTTTAACATACCTAAGCGGTACTTTGTGGGTTTTATCTTGCACTTCCATCAACGTTGATTCTTCCGTTAATTGTGACCTTCACACCGACTTCCATCCTCACTTGATGACTGATGATCCCACAGAATTTATTTGAGGGCCGAGCAAGAGTAGTAATTGAATAAAAACAAATAGACATCATCCTCGAAGATCTCAAGACTCTTTCGTGATATCACTGAGTCGTTTAGAAATTCTGAGGCCAAACACCAATTTTCAATTATCCAAAGAATAATGTCGAGGGACAATTTCGAAAATTCAAGCGAAAATGAGAGAACACTGAAAATACTTCTAATAATAGTTCCGTAAAATTTTTCGTAACCCGAATTAAGGAATGGGTAGATCAAGATGGGTAATCTTGATTGAATTCTTCTGGTCGTGTAATTTTTATTTTGAAAAGTACTCGCTTTGGGAGTGAATAAGTATTCAATGAAAAGGTCACTATTTACGAAGACAAAATTTATGAGAATTAATGCATGAAACATGAAAGGAACAGTCGAGTCATCACCATGAATCAAGTAAATAGTGACTGAAGGGAAAAAAACTATCGTCATCCACGGTAGTTGGTTCGATAGTTTATTTCTCATGTTTATGTACTTCCAAAACCGGATTTTCATCTCAGGATGTCATTACCAACGCGTATTACCTTTTAATATACAACATGTTGTCAAACATCTCGTTCAATATCACTCGTTAATCATCGATGAATGCAATAATTTTTCTTAAATTACCTAATTGTCCGGATACATTTAGATGCGCTACATGGTTATGAGTAAAAAAAAAATTATTGTGAAATGCAGTTCTCTGGGCTTTGAGTTTCCTTCTGTCATTCTCGAGGAAGTGGAGAAGGCTATTACGTTCAAGACATCATGGGAATTGCTAGAGGAATTTCAAGAGGATTTTTATCAACAATTCGTAGGCTGAAGAAAATTTTTTTCCATTTTTACCACTGATAAATGAAAATTACAGTCGTACACTGACGAGTGAGTAAAAAAAAAATCCGTTAGTACGCGATGATAGATTTTCCGTGGCGATCGACTGGATGCCTTGTACTCATTTTAATCATCATTAAATCCTCGTTTTTAGGCCTAATTGGGGATTCTGTCTAATGTGTTAACGGCATTTCTTCCTTTGATGGAGAAAAAATCCCGAAGACCTGCGCGTATATTTTTGGGGGTATCCTTTCGGGGCAAGTGATCACTCGAGTATAAATCATGATACAGATCCTTTCGATCCCACGGGCATTTGCATTTTGTTGAATTTCTGGTTGAGACAATGATTAGTTGGTCCTAGGGAAGTTCACGGTTGTGAATCAGAATGAACGATCTCACTTCCACGCACGGTATGGCCAGACCGATCATGCATTTTTATTTTTTTTTATTTTTTGTCTCAAGGATGTTGAATCAAGATCCCCACTCTCTCTCTGTATCTTGCATATGTTTTGAATTACGGGTTTCAGTGTATGGCAACTTCTCAGCATCACTCGTGATTTTGTTATTCGATACTTTTCCTTATCGAGATCACAGTTGGCTTCAACGATCTGCTAGATTAAAGATGATTAATCGGCTGAGTAATAGTTACTAGCGATCTGCAAGAATTCTCTTCCTTTTTAACGGTACAGTCGTACTTTCGGTGGATAAGAAGAAAATTATTATGCCGTTTAAATTATTTAATGCCGAAAGCTTTTCACTCATTCTGAAAATTTTTCTTTTGAAACAAAAAAAAATCGGGAAACAAAACAATTTTATTTTTGGAAAATGTTTTGAAAAATTTTTCAAAAAATTCTTTCGGAAATTTTTTTTTATCATTTTCTAGAAATTCTTGCGTATATAAATTTTTTTTAATTATACTGTTGTTCTCTTACTTTTTTGATTTTTCAATATTCTCAAAAAATACGCCATCTCAATTATAAAAAAAATATTCCTATTCAAATTTTTGAAAAATTTTTCAAAACCTTTTCCAAACATAAAATTGTTTCCTTTTTTTTTGGTCCATAAAAAAAATGTCTGAAAAGTTTCTTGAAATTTTTTGAAAATTTGGAAAAAATATTTCGCTTACAATTTGTTTTTACCCCGGCAGTTATTATATTTATTATATTTATTGTTTTGAAATAAATTTTATTCCAAAAAAAATATTTCCGTTCCTCCGATGATTAAAAAATTCCTCTGCAAAATGTGTGACCGAAAAACGAAAGAAAAATCCCTCAGCAATTTGGCATTAAAAGGGGATGGTCGCGGGGGTGTGATAGATGGCGCAAGTGATACTCTAAATATAGGTGTAACGAGTCGAGAGTAATGGAAAGGTACTTTGGCATCTATCGGAGAAATAATTGATGCTGATACTCGAGTCCTGCATGCCCGAGTAATTGCAGGGCCCTCAAGGGGTCCAACCACACAAAAACCGTCTGTCCACGTTATTTTTTTTCCCTGGAATAATCGAAAAAAAATAATGAAGAATCACCAAAATCCAGCAGAAGGTGAAGCTGATCCTTCATTAAACTCACGCATTACTTCGGGTTATCGTAATGAAGATCAGGAGAAAATTATGAAATTATCGGAAATTTTTATGAGACCTAGTCTCTTCATGAAAAAAAATTGTTAATAAAACAAAATTCGGTAATAAAGGGAAAAATGGACAAAAATTGACTTGGAAGGGAGGGTAGAGAGAAATGGATTGGCATTTTTTAAATTACATTTTCGACGGGCTCAGCAAAACTGCGATGGCGTCCAGATCACTCATTACACCCTTTTTATCCCACCATTAAAATTCTCTATTTCCCCCCTTAACCTTTTCGTTTAAATGAAAAAAATATTTTGATATCCCATGATTTTTCCGTGACGTACACTTCATGAGAACAGAAAATAATGAATCTAAAAAATATAAGATATGATAGGTGGTTTTTGTTTTTTTTTTCGATTGAGCGAAAATATTCACCAAAAATTCATGTATTACTCCGACGAAGTCAAGTCCAATGGGCGCGGGAAATATCCAAGACAGGGAAATTAGCATTCCTCGTGTGCGGTTTACAGTGGTATGTCGATGAAGTCGAAGAGAGACGTGTCGTCGGGCGTGCCCGGTAAGTGAATTCGCGTGGTGCGTTGAGACTTATCTAAAGACAAGTCCATAATGAAAAAAAAAAAAGCCAGGAGAAAGAATCCTCCGGAGGCTCAACCCCAGGGATAAAAATGCGGGTGGATATGAGTGACAAGAAGGTTAAACAAATCACTGACAATGTTAAGCATGATGCGTTCTCTCTGTATCCATGACATGGACGAAGAGAATTCAAGTTGACGGCGGAAAATGCGGATGAAGGGACACGGAAGTCGTTGTGGTATTCTCGCTGTGTTAATGGTACTAAACGAAAGGCGAAGGAGTTTAGTGCACTGTTAGACAATTGTTAAGTCACCACAAACCCAATGCAAATGACAATTTTCCGTGCGTAGTGATGAACACCCGATGTTAAAAAAAATTACTATTGGAATTCAGAATCTAACTTTTTTATTCGCACTTAAAAAAGTAACGGGAAAATATTGCTAAATCCATTCTCTAAATAAATGATGTTCCCAGCCATTTCAATAGTCATGAATAATAATTTCAGTGCTCATACCTGAAAAAAAAAGATATTTTCTGTTGAGAT